TTCCCCGAGTTTATCTGTATATCTCATCCAGGCCACGTAGTAGCACATCTGACAAACGATGGTTCCACAGCGATAAGCTGCAGGTCCCATTTGCAGCGTGGATACAGTGAGAATATTTTGTATACTATTGTGGCAGATGAAAGGAATGGAAGTGGGCCAAATTCAAGCTGTTCGCCATTGCATCTGATCAGCAGATCCTATGGAGAGAATTTGCCTGCTGTGAATATTTGATTCTCGCAAGCCTGAATCTGACAAACGATGGTTCCACAGCGATAAGCTGCAGGTCCCATTTGCAGCGTGGATACAGTGAGAATATTTTGTATACTATTGTGGCAGATGAAAGGAATGGAAGTGGGCCAAATTCAAGCTGTTCGCCATTGCATCTGATCAGCAGATCCTATGGAGAGAATTTGCCTGCTGTGAATATTTGATTCTCGCAAGCCTGAGCTATCTTGTGTGTTGGCAGTGCTACTGTGTGAATTTGCGGTGGCTTTCCAGGGTGCCTGTCCTGCACAACTGCCAATTTCTGGGCTTTTTTTTTTACCGGGTTCAGCATTTTGTGCTCTGCTTCATGTGTGAGGAAAATGACCTAATGCTATACAGTGAACATTTTTTCATATTTGTAGCACATGGGTTATCAAGTCTTTTAAAAACAGGGGGGGGGGCGGGGAAGTTTACCGGTGAGCAGTGTATTATTTCTTCCTCCCTCCCTCCACCTTCCTGGAGGGGTGACCCCTCTGCCTCCCATTCTCTCTGCATTACCTGCAGGTGGTTGTCACGGCAAAGTGATTTTGTAGAGGTGAGTCGTGCAGGTTACACACCAGAAAGGATGAAGAGGTGACGGTGCTGAAATGCAGTTGTGAGAGCAGGGGCAGCTTTACAGTCCCTTCCTTCCCATGCACCCTCTCACTCAGGACCCGAGTCAGTGCCCCATGCACCTGTTCGTCCTTCCCTGCTCCTCCCCAGCCCTTCTTGCTGGTTCCTGGCTGCCTTTGCCCGAGAATGGGTAATGGTTCGTGTGTTGGTTAATTTTTCTGTTCTGAAATTTGGCATAGCAAAACATTTACATTAGTAGCTTTTGCATTTCTAATGCTTTAAAGTACGTGACATTGCTTACAGTGCTGATCTAATGGTAACTGGCAGGACTCTGCTTAGGCAAGCAGAAAAGAAAAGGGTTGGGGTTTAACCTGTCCGTGTATCCTGTGCTTGTGTCCTCTGTCTGTCACCACACTGAAGCATTTGTCTTCTGTAGGCAGCCTGTTTAGAGTTTATGTCATTTTATAGAGAAAACATAGATGAAATTTTATAGATACCTATAGATATCTGTCAATTATAGATTTATAGATAGAAAATTTTGTAGTCAAAAAATAGGTAAATTTTTTTGGGGGGGTCTGGAGCACAGGCCTTATGAGGAGCGGCGGAGGGAACTGGGGTTATTTAGTCTGGAGAAGAGGAGGCTGAGGGGAGACCTTATCGCTCTCTACAACTACCTGAAAGGAGGTTGTAGTGAGGTGGGTGTTGGTCTCTTCTCCCAAGTAGTTAGCGATAGGACGAGAGGAAATGGGCTCAAGCTGCGCCAGGGGAGGTTTAGGTTGGAAATTAGGAAAAATTTCTTTACGGAAAGGGTGGTCAAGCATGGGAACAGGCTGCCCAGAGAGGTGGTGGAGTCACCATCCCTGGGAGTGTTCATAAAGCGGGTAGATGTGGCACTTCGGGCCATGGTTTAGTCTAGTCTACCCTTGATTGGCTTAGAGTAGACTTGGTAGCGTAGGTTAATGTTTGGACTGGATGATCTTAAAGGTGTTTTCCAACCTAAACGATTCTATGATTCTATGAAAATTTGCAAAAGAAATTTAGACTGTAATCTGTAAGCTCGCTCTTTCTCTGGATATACAAGGACAAAAAGCAGAAGAAGGGTTTTGATGGAATAGCGGTGCGGACTTGGTGAAACCAAGAGGAGCCAGCAGCAGACAGCTGCAGGTCCTCTGGGGCTGTAGGAAATGACGTGCTGACCGAGTGACCCATCCTCCGTCTGCTCCAGTTTTGCAACTGCAGCAAGTAACCGCTCAGAGAAAGGCAATATCATCTCCATTTAATGTATCGAGGAAATTGTGTGTTGCTGCCTTGTAGGGGCTGCCAGAGGGACTGAATTCTGGTTGTGTATCTCCTGAGACCACTGTAAAAGATGCTGCCCTGTTAACTCAGGCACGGCAGCTGGCCGCGCTGCGATCCTTGCCATTGGAAGTGTGACCCATTTGCGCGACCTATTTAACTCTGCCAAGTTGTAAGGAGCTGGACATGCCCATTAGGAGTGTGTTTTCAGTCTCTTATTTAAGGTAGGGATGTTTTATATATGTTGCTGCTTGTAAACATTTCTTGGCTCTTTTTTTTTTTTTAAGTTTCTTCAACAGCAAGAAAGAAGTGGCACTTTAGAATACACGACTAAAAAAATTGTGTAGTTACAGCTAGCAGATACGGAACTATAATTTCTCTCAAAAACTATAAGCAAAATTTTTTGAGAATTGAAGAAACTGGGAATTGGCCAGTGCAAGGTGTAGTAATCCCTCTGGATTACTTTCCTGGGAGCTGGGTCTTCATGATAAGACTCCTTTCTGCTTTTAGTGGCTTAGGAGTGGTGTTCTCCAGGGTCTCAACAGACCTAACAGATACAAATTTCAACTGTACTGAAGCAAACCAGGAAAACTTTAGTTCTGCAGTAGTGTGAGATACATTTTTGGCTTGGGGATGTGCAGCCTAGGCAGGTTTACCTGAACATCTGTCACTTGAAAACAATTTGTTGCCTTTTTTTTTTTTTTTTAATCCTTTTAAACAAATTGCCATTTTTAGGACCATTGAGGAATAAAACTATGAGATTGTTAATAGAAGCAAAAACTTTCAGTGCTGACTGATTGCATCTTGTTGACGTGCATGGTTGTTTATGCCCATATAAGATATCTGCTTTCTGAGGAATTGTTTGGGTGATGGTGTTAGTGACTGTTGGCAAACGTTATTCTTATGATGACCATCAAAACAAAAGCGTGTATGAAAACAGGCATAGGGTGGTGAGACTTTTTTTTTGAGAAGTAGGCATTTGTTCATCAACAGAAGAACCGAGTTTCCAAACTACAAGGCTGCCAAATGGCTGATATTTTTGTTACTGCTTATCGTAACTTGGATGTGAACTTTTGGCATAAAGACGGGTGCAATTAGTTATCCCTGGAGTTCCCCCTCCTTTGATTGTTTTCTAAACCTATTAGGTTACTGGGTCCTGTATGTCCTGTATGTTTTTGTTGGGAAATATTGTTAGGAACGTGGTTTTTTAATGCTCTTGCATTTTTATTAGCTTTACACATTGCTCCACCCACCATTTGGAAGTGACCAGAGCTGTCCTCCATCAAAGGCTAAACACAAGAGTTATTCACGTTGCAGTTGGAAAAATTATAATGCAAACACTAAGCCAGATGGGGAATTTTACAAGCATCTTTTCATGTCATGAATGATGCTGGCTTTCTGGGCTATGGGCTCTCTGCTCTCTCGACTGCTGCTCCTTTCCCCCGCCTCCCCTCCCGAGCTGGTAGGTTTCAGCCAGGGAAGAAAGGGAGATTTGGGCTCCTCTGAATTTCCAAGTCCGTATTTGTTTGTGGTGTGGCTGGTGACAGCGCGCTTTGTGTGCGAGAGCGTTGGCATGCAGAGAGCCGCAGCGATTAGCATGCTGCTTGCTGCGCCCCGACAGAACAAGCGGGGCTGCTCTCGCCGAGCTGTGGCCGTGCCACCCAAACAAAAGCCTGGGAGCAGATGCGGGGAGAGCCCCGCTCGCGGGTCCTGCTCTGTCACGCGGGGTCGGCAAGAGCTGAACGCTGCCCTGCCTCCTCTGCTTCCCAGTTTTTACAGAAACGGAGGTCTCTGCCCCACGCTGTGGTTCTGCTCCTCCGTAGCTCTTCACATGGCAGCTTACCTCTAGTTAGAGGTTTGAGATGAGAGGCCTCGGAGAGTATCAAGCTGTACGTTTTATCCTTACTCGTCCGCACATCTACTATTGCAGTTGCTGATCCAGCAATGTGTATATCTAAAAACTTGTTCTCTACTGACCTTCAAGATTTATCTGCATAAGAAAGATTCACTGGTTCTATAATAGGGTGGTGGTGTGCATGCATGTGTGTAAGTTAGTATAAAACATATACTAAATGTATATGCATATACATACAGGTTTAATCCCCTCAGTGCAAACCCATGTGTCATCACTTGTATTTAGTTTCAAAGAGGCTTGTATCAGTTTGTGCTTAATCTTAGTTATTGATTTTTATTTTTTACACTCTGAAAAGTGTAAATCCTCCTTAAAAAGTGTTATAAAATTAGTGGTGTTTCTTCTTACAGACAGAGGTCATGTAAAGTGTAGCTTCAAGCATTTTATTTGGGGAGAAGGCACCTACCTCTCTTCCCAGTGGCTTCTGGCTGGTTAAGGTTGGAGAGGCAAGAGACTGGTTGTGTTAACTGGGAGTAACTGGCTTGTTCATATCAACATGCAAAATGTTTTCTGAACAAACTGCTTGCCTAAATGGTGGTGGGCTGTTTCATATCTACCCTTCCTGCTCCCTTCAGAAATCCAGCCTTTTCTTTTCTGCCCCGTAACACGCTGAAGCTGTGTTGGCAGCCTACAGCAGTAGGTGGGGAAATCAGCAGGGCTTTTTCAGTTAAAGAAGTTGCCAACATCTGGGTTTGGAAAGAGAAAAGTCAACAAGCTTGTTGCAGTTACATATTTAAAATAAAAAAAAAAAAAAAGAAAAAAAGTTTTGTTTCGTATTTATCTGGTTTTCAAACAAAACATGTACTGACTTCTTAAATGATGTGACTGGAAATGTCTTTGGTTCTTCATGTAACTAATGATAGAACTGTTTGTGAGCTGTTACTGAGTCCCGGAGAGGTTGGTTCAGTGGGATTTTTTTTTTTTTTCAATGAAGAAGAGTTAAAAGGGGTTTTTTTTTTCCTCATTTCAGGATAATATCATCTTGTTCTTAAGAGGCTGCAAAGAGCTGGGACTTAAAGAATCTCAGCTTTTTGATCCTGGTGATCTGCAGGACACATCAAACAGAGTAACCGTCAAGTAAGTACAACAGCAGTTTGCAATTAGCATGTTGCAGATGCATGTGATGCAATAGTAAATATTTAAGGATGAGCAAAAAGGCTATAGAATTGTCATTTGTATAAAGCAAATAGGAAGCTGAGGTTTGGGAAACCTTCAGCGCTGGGAACAATACATTGTTCCCTTCAACAGGCTTTCTCCTAAGGGCTGTTATTTTTCCCAGAGAGATCAACCACAGCTCTTTTAAAATACTGTTTTAGTTACGCAATGACATTCTGTGGGACTTAGGGGTTTTCCTGAGTCTAAATTGATGGCATTCTTTTTTGTCTGTCCAACTAATGAACTGTATAGGCTGGGGGGAAAAAAATGACAGCTCTCTTATTTCAGATTAAACTGTTTTGAAGATGCATTGTAGGACATTTATAGGCCTCTCAGACTCTACAAGGTGCAGACATGAGCACAGTCTGTTTATTTTCTAAAAAGAACTATAAGCTGGGCCACGATATTTGGGCAGAGGATGTCTATGTGAACTGTGTGGACTGGAAATGCCACAGTTTAGAGACTTTTTCACCAAAGCCACACACCTACTACCACATGAATTACTACAGGCATATTAAGAGGTTCTGCTTCCTAATAGCTAATTCATGTTTTTTGTGGGGTGAAGTGATTTTTTTTAAAAATCTCCTTTTAATCAACAGCTTTTTAGCCATGGTATGTGCATGTCCCTCACTGCAAGGAGTACTAGGTGCTTAGACTCCAGTGCCTGTATTTTCAGCATTTCACTGCGCAAAGTGATTTAAAATACAGATGTGAAACTGGCACAGAAAAAATTACTGACTTGCCTAAGGTCACACAGAGCAGGCTTGAATCAAAGTCCATATAGCCATAGATTGAGGTCTTAAATAGCAACTGTTGTCCCTTTCAGAGAAGACACTGTCATCGTGGACTAGAGGAACAGAAGCAGTCAAACTGTATTTTTCTCTTGTTTATATGAACGGCAATCAAGCTCCCCACCCCGCAAAAGCAAGAGCACCCCACACTTTCTTAAAATTAACAAAATTTGTAGCTGGTGTTATTTAGAAGTTTTCCTGAAATTTTGGGGTCTGTCATGTACTATTAAAAGTTATTGCTCTACAGACAAGCAAATACTGCTGAGTTGATTGAATGGCCTTGTTTCATTTGGCTAAAAAGATTTGGCCAAAAAGATCCCTAATGAAATCCTGGTCAGACATATCCATTTTAGAAAAGTATATGGAAACAATTTACTAAATTTCAGCGGCATTCTATTTTCTTTCCCTTCTGGCAGTGGAAGCTGGGCAAGTTTTCATGGTGTTCAAGCACTGTCTGGGAAAATTCGAAGGTTCTGAAAATTGAATTGGCCACTTTCCTTGTTTTAAGGAACAGTCTCCCACTTTTTGCTCCCTTCCAAGTTTCTGGCTGTAATATGAGGTTCTTCTTGCCTGTACATACCAGTGAGAGTGGGCTATGTTACATATTTCTTCTAAATCTAGTAATATTGCAATGAAGGAAGTTCTTCACGACATCCTGTAAAATCATGACAGTGGACAGAGTCGCAAAGCAATCCCTAACCTCCATACAAAACCAGAGAGAAAGGGTCTTTCTGATAAGAAGCTTGATCTTTTGGGGTTGAGAGTGGTGGAGTACCTCGGAGGAGGCAGGTTGAGAGGCTGGGACTAGCATGGAGCTCCAAGGAGAGCTGTCCAGCACGTAAGCAAGTTAAACCAGGAGTAATAAACTCTGCGGAGCTGGCTTGGCCCTCCACTGAATGTGATGCTAGGTAGATGTGAAGTGTCTCCCTGGCATGGATTTTTCTCCCCATCGACTCTTCAGAGAAAGCAGCTGTGGAAATGAGCCAAATGTTTTCCTAGCACCGTCCAAGTTCACGCTGAGTAACTGAGTTGAGGTGTATAAGCCAAGTCCATGACTGTTGTAGAGAAATATGTTCAAGACTGTCTTCTGCTAGCTAGTTCCCAAAGCATGAAGGTGATTTTTTTTTTTCCTCCCTCTTAGAAGACTTTTGGGGTTTCTTAAAGATGGTAGAAATAGTATTTGTTCTGTTGTAAAGGATGAATATGACATTATTGCACATGATTAAGATAATGACATTTTAAACCATTTTTTTCACATAGATGTTAATTGAAATATGCATTAGGTCTATTTTTTTTGGAACATTCAGCTTATAAAAGTTATGAGCTAATGCTGTAAAGAATTTCTTCTTGACTTGTTAAACAAGACTCTTTTCCACTGCTATTTTATTAAGAAAAAAAATAGGACTGTTTTATTTTTCTTAGTATGTGGGTATTGGTGGATAGAATTTTGGCTTAAAAAAGATGTTAAAAAAGATGTTATCAAAAATACTTTGGTTTAGTATTGCCTATATTTAGGCTTTTGTTGTTCTCACAGATTTAAGTACATTTATTTTTGTTTTTATCAGGTAACCTTTAATGCTGGAGTGGACTTTCTGTTACCGTAGAAGGCAATTCCATTATAAATAGTCAGGAGACAATCTGTACTAAATCTGAAGTGCTCTTATTTATTTTTCAGCACCTAAATGTGATACACATTTCCTCCATTCTTTTTTTAATGGTTTCTTTGCTGAATTTTGAAATGTTGTTTATGTTTGTGCAAACTTTGTGCTTTGTTGTTTCTAACATAAAACTTCCCCTCTTTGAACATTGGTGAAAAACTAAATTGAGAAGGATGCCAACATCTGAGTGCTTGAATATACATTCAAAAAATAAATATGTTTTCCGCAGCAGGTTCTGTTGCAAGTGGTAGGATCTTTGTTGCTTCACCCATCTACTTTGTTCTTTGTGGGGCTTGTTTCCACAGAAGCACCTGCTCCATTTCCTTAATGTTTAGTGATGAATTCCTTGGTCTCCTATGCATGTTCAGTTGCTTCCAGAATCTGTAAGGGTTGCGTGATTTATCACAGAGCAGAATCTGACTGTTGGATTACTGCAGAACGCATTTTAGCAGTGAGGACTTTGGTCTTCTTTTTTGAAGAAATCAGCAACACTGTTTAAAGGAAATATTTCTGGCACTGTCCTACTTTACTGTGGGACCATTATAAACACATTTTCTTTTTGTACTTCCAGAATTCTAATTTAATGATTGAAATAATGGTGACAAAATACTCCCACGTTATGAATAAATGAATGTGTGAACTACATCTTCTTAGCTTTCATGTGTTTCCAGCCAGCAGAAGCATTCTGCAGGCTTTTGTTAGGGAAAACGTGATCTGCTGCGTACACGCTCTTGGAAAGTGTGTCTGCTTTCTGATTATTTTTTTTTTCCCTCTTTTTTGTGTGTGTGTGTGTGCAACCAGGAACATTGACTATAGTAGGAAGCTGAAAAATGTAAGTACATGACTTAGAGTATTTTTTTTTTTGGTCTGGTTAATCCTGTATTTGGCCTGAGCAACAATTATGTCAGTAAAAACTTAGTACAGATGAGTATTGCTGAAAAGTTCTTCTGAACGCAAACCTAACCAGGTTCTGCTGCAAACCTTAATAGAGCTGCTATGGCAAAGCAGCCTTTCGATACAAATACAATGGAGAATGTTTGTCTCTGCTTAATTAAGGGATAAAAGAATGTGATCTCTGTGCTGTCCATCATGGTTTGCACTGGGAATGGTCTGACTCACCCATGGAGCTACTCTTTTGTAGCCTTTCATGAACATATAGGCATAAAGCAAATTTGCACAAAGTATTTAAAATGAAGCAAAATGATCATTAGATCTGGATGCAAGTCTTTACTGTCAGATTTGCTAGCTTTCTCGTTGTTCTTCCAAATAAATGAGTGTTTTTCCAGAAAGACTAATTCCATTTAACTTTAATTTCATGTTGATTTAAACTAATAGCAATGATAATGGTTCCTGTAATTGCTAAGAAGAAAAGAAAATGGCTAAACTTCGCTGGTCTCAGGGTTAGTTATTATCCTAAAGCCTAGCAAGCTGTCTGTCCTTAGTGAACTGTAAACTGTTATAAATTCATTTTATATTTGGCTCATATCCCTGTAAACTGCTAGGAAATGCCAAGACCTTTTCCTAATAACTTTGCAAGCCAGTAATCATGACTACAGGTAAAAAAAAAAAAATAACAAAAGCAAAAACATTTAAAAAACCCCAAATCATTTCATCCTGTCTTTCCTATCATCATTAGAGTAATATCTTCTGCACCCAGCACGCAAAGTTGCGGGGGAGGAGTTCAGCTTTGGCATTTTAGCACCCTTGTGGGCATTGGCTAAATATCTTTGTACCAACAATATCTTGTATTGTTTTAAAGGTAAAGTTTCAAACGTATCCTCCACAATGTGCTTGTGGGCAATATACGCTTTCCAGGTGCATGATCCTGCAACCTCGGCTGGCAGCCAGTCGGAATTGCGTGCAAATGTGACATTGGGGCGGGGAGGAGTGGATGAAGAAAGGAAGAAGAGAGAAAGTGATCAAATGCTAGCAGAAATAAATAAAAATCCCACAACCTTCATCAGAGAACTGAATGGCAAAATGAATTGGACAGTTTCCTGGTTGCTAGGAATAGTATATTTGCAAGTGTTTTCACTTAACTTGAGAACATGTACCATAAGAATTTTTTACATAAATTTGTTCAGTAGTGCTGGTTGAAGGAAAACAGCTCAGATAAAGGTTGTTTCAAGACAAAAAAAATCAGTATTGGCAAAACCACCTCCTTTCCCTCAGCACAGTAGTATCAATTTGGATGTAATTTTAAAAACAAGGAGAAAATTTCTGAACTTTATTAAAAATGTTATTCGGTTATTTCATGGCAGGTATATTATTTATAAACTAAAGGAAAATATAATCTGTATTTATATATAAAATATATTTTGCATGATGCACCATAGTTGTTTTTAAACGGGGGATCTGTATGACACATGCTGTATCCTTTTCTGGCAGGGCCTCAGCTGGAGTGCTGTGTGTGATTTTGGACATCACACTTAAATGAAAAATGGGGATGTTAGAGAAAGTTGATGAGAAAAGGCTAGTCAGAAGTCTAGCATATGTGACTGAGGAGGAAGCACTGAAGCAATGTGGGTGCATGTTTTAGGGAAGAAGAGTCTGACAGAGATGTCTGTCCCCAATGACCCCCTGGGATTTCTCCTAGTTCTGTTTTCTTTAGGTCACTATATAGTATGAATTATATGGCCCTGTCCCATCAAAACACAAAATACTATGTTTCAGTTCATTTAACTGTTTTGAGACAGTTAATGGCAACTATTATTTATTATTGGTTGCACATCTTTTCCACATCAAAATATTTCCTGTTTGTTCTGCAGTTAAATACTTTGCAATGTCATGGAATATGCAGAAATAACGAGCATTAAATGAGAAAAAGCCCTAAGTTCTGAGGTGATGGTTTGGCATTTTTAACCAGTGCAAAACATTGAACTGAATTGCCTTTGACGATTGGTTTCCAGTCCAAATTGCAACTGCACAGGTACCATTAAAGACATTGCTTTAAGTGGAGACATATGTGGGTGCAGAGAAGGACTGTTTGCTTTCCCTGCATGATATAAAAATATCAGTGTTTTTGGACGTGTTGGATTTGACCATCCTGAGCATCTTAATTTCTCCTTTCCTAAAACAAGTGCGGCACCAGCAGCGTCAGATCAGATTTCTTTGCTAACTAAAGGAGTGAGAGGGTATATAAACATTTGCAAGAGCAATTCTTGGCTTTTTTTCTGTGCTAGTTTTGAAGTGACTTTTGAGTTATGGGGAGACATCAAGTCAGAACTTGAATGAAACCACTAACTCTTTTCACTTCAGTCTGATAGAAACAACCAGATGCTCATGGCTTTTGATTAATCTTGGGCTACACATTTCTTAAGCTAGCAGAAGCCTGGAAGTAAATGTTCCCATGTCATCTGGTTAATTACATTAAGATGATTAAAAATGGAGCTACCTTTTCTGTCCTTGAAATAGGCAGGCACACGTTTCAGATGTTTTATTTATTCCATTAGCCTTAACGGTTTTAATTAATGACCACTAGTATTAGTACTCTCTAGGGATTTTTTTTCCTATTGGATTTACAAACAGATATATTTATAAGTGTGTTTTGTAGACAGTTTCAAATATCTTGCCTAGTTTTTCTATTCAGATTTATTTTTGCTGTTTATTTTCCAGGCAGACATGACAGTTTAATTTTTTTATAAAAATACCAGCAAGATAATGTGTCAAGTTACATATTCTGTAGGACTGTTTAAATTTTCGTAGTTGCTCGATGTATTTCTGTTTAACCACTGACAGACACTTCGTTTCAATTCTGATTTATAACAAAATCTTGTGCTGCTGTGCAGTTTAGAATAAATGAGAGATGCTGAAGGGAAGTGAATTTAGCTAAGTGACTGTGTAGATGGCTTCAATTAATTCTTATTAACTTCTGCAGGTATTAGTCACCATTTATTGGCTAGGGAAAGCGGCAAACAGCTGCACGTCATATAGTGGATCAACCCTGAACCTGAAGGAGTTTGAAGGTTTGCTGGCACAAATGAGAAAGGTATCTTTTTGTTATGTTTTTGGGATGGAAATTTCATTCAAATTGTTACTCCCATAAATAACCTGTTTGTTGCTAAATATGAGAGAAGTAGGGGGCTGGAGTACAAACTACTTAGTAAATCCCTATCTCCTTTGGAAATGTTTCCGACTCTACCAAGCTGTGAACACAACTTTCTTTGGCAGCCAGCTTTGTACTGATATTGGTGATGCAGCATGTGATGTCAAACAGGGCTTTAGAATTGTCATGTGGCTTTGTCGTCTTCATTTCCATAGGTCTTGGTTTGAATTATTTTCATTTATGACACAGAGTTTCAGCTAGAAGAGCTGAGACTTAGAAGTAAGGTGACAGGACTCACAGGAGCGGAGATTTTTCTTCTTTAAAACATTCAGTCTCGTGGGCAGCTCTTTTGTTTTTAAGTTGCAACGTAAAGCATCAAACCAAAGGATCTAAATAAAGCTGAAGGGCAGGAGGAGGAGGTTATGTTTCACCAAGGTTATAGTTATGATGAATCTGTGTTTTGCCAAGCTCTAAATTCTGGCTGAAATCATATTTGGTGGTTTATGATGAGCTGAGCTCTGTCAGAAAAGAAAAGTTGTGCTTGTTGTAGGGTGGTTTGGAGACTTTTGGTTGAGCGCTCCAGCATGCCCTGAACCTCGACATGAGACACTTAGCCTCAGTAATGGTTAGTGTTGATATCCAAGCACACATTTAATGGGGATGGAAGGGGCAAGGAGCAGGCGTGTAAGAAGATGGCAGGACCCAGTGCTAGCACTGCGTGTATTGGACATACTGCTCATGAAACGCCATGCAGATATGTTCCGCAGCCCACAGAGAGCTTCGTGCCTGCTACTCCCTCCCCATCTGATGTAACAGCCAAGACACGACAGGCAGTAGGGTTTGGGGACCATGGGAGACTCTGCTTTTTACTCTTGAGTTCCGCACCAGCTGCAGCTCTTCATTCTGGGATCTCAGAGGGCCAGCACTGGATTGCCACTGGAGAGGCAGAAATACTGGGCTGACTGATAGCAGTTCCTACACCCTAGTGTGACTGGAGAGCCTTAACTAGACGGGTAAAATCCCTGCTTGTGAGGCCAGTTCCTGTGAACAAGCAGGAGAAATAGAGAGGAAAAGAGAACATCCTGCTTCTCAGCAGAGGTTTATTTTGGTCTTTATTCAAAATGAGCGGCGCTAATCGCTCGGGACTTTCCCACTCATAAGTGATATGACTGAGAGCAAGCAATAAAGAAATGAAGTTAGTATTTGAGTTGTTTCCAAATAGAAGATGCAGGGAAGGAGCAGTCCCCACTCCAAAGAGTCTGAAAGGTGAAACAAAGATGGACAAGGGAGCTAGCACAGAAAAATTGCCGAAGTGCAGGTTGTTATAATGTTAGTGATGCATGGTATTGTGGTTTATTTTTTAATGTTTAATCACACAGCATGAGGCTCCTCTTCTTCCATGTGATGTTTACCCATCAGACTAATCATCAGAGCATTTTGGAGGTCCCATCTTGAGCCCTTTTGTGGGATGAAGTAGGCTGGGACTGAAAGGCAGTGTTCTCCAGGGAGCTTGATGGTCGTGGAGCGCCTGGCTGGGCAGTGCAGAGCACTGCAGGTCGAAGACAAAAGCAAGAGTCTGGGACTTGATTCATTGCAGATGTTGGAGCTGGGAGCAGAGTAGAGCTCATAAAAGCTGAAAGCTAGGTATTCCTTTAATGTAAAAACAGAACACTTTGCAGTCCTGAAAAGCCTTGTTTAGGTGGTGCTGCGATGAGGGCCACTGGTGTCTTATGTTAAGGTCACCTCCCTACTCCTGTACCCCTGCAGTATTTCCCACTGACAATTGTGCGCTTGTCAGTTACTGAATTTGAAGAGGATTTCGTTGTAAAATAGAACATGTTAATCACGCTGTGCAATGCTCTGATGTTCTTTATAGCTGAGCTTGAGTGATGAAAAGACACTTTATCACATTCTCTACTGGCATTTTTTTCCACTGGATTTAATAATTAAGTCGACCATAAATTCAGTCTGGTTTAGCTTTTTGTTATAAATCCTCTCTGCCCTCCTTTTTTAATAAGCAAATCAAAAGACAGCTCAGACGTAAGTTGTCTCGGACTCATCTTTTTCTACTTCTCATACTGAAAGGGCTATTCATTTCTAATTTTATTCAGGCTACTCTGTTTTTAATTTCATTAACTATTTGGATATGCATTCTTGTTTACTAGAAACTCCCATTGACAAAACATCCATGGCTTTTTGATTATATTTAGTGGGTGGAACTTCCTGGAGAAATACATCTTATATTTGGCAATCATGTTTTTACTACCACTCAGTGACATACTGTGTTTTTAGTTAGATAATACGAAAGACTAATGTGCTATTGTGTGTTGTGTTATGGTGTTATCAGTCCTGCAGATAACCACTTTCTTTTTCCCATTGATAACATTTGGGAGATGACGTTTTGCTCAAAGCAGGACAAGTACCCATCTGTGAGACGGCAGTTGGGCTGGGAGAATAGCTTTGCCAAAGGGGAAGGCTGTAAAGAGCATGTTTACAGAAGTCTAGGATCCCATCCTGGTGCCTGCCTCCTAATTCCTGGTGAGCGGCATGCAAAACTAACATCAGCAGGCCTTTGAAAGTAGGGTCTGCAGAACTCATTAGTTCACAGTTGGACTGTTTTCAAACTCTGGGAGATAGTGAATGCAGGATGGGGCTTTTTGCCTGTGTTTAAGTCCCTGTAGCTGCTGAGCAGTTCTATGTCATTCAAATACAGTAACGTAGGAAAATGGCAATGTGCCTGAGGATTGAGAATAGCTGATTGGTATGAAGGGACGAGGGGATTTAGGGTATTTTGAATTTTAGAAAGATCTTTGGATCATGTCACAAATAGAATTTTGATAGGATTTTTAGATTTGTTTTTGGATGTGTGTAACTCATGCAGATTTCAGGGAGACAGATCTTTGTTGTCTAGTGTTTCTATCAGTATTTTAGTTCACTAAGCAGGACTGGGGAAGGAAATTACATAGGATCCAACTACTACTTTGTTAGCTGAATTTTATTTGTTTTTCGAAAATACTTTCACTTCAGATTGCAGTGAGGTTACTTACTGACATTACCACAGTTTAGCTTGGCCTTAGGGGACCTTTGCTGCTGCCCTTAATGTGGTATTTTGGCAGCATAATAGTGAGTGGCACTAATTAAGCCTTCTTCCTGAAAAGTCTGCAGGACGTCGGGTCTGATCTCTCTGTCTCGCTTTGAGCCTCCCTCTTTTCCAGCACGGAAGCTTTGGTGTGTTTCTGCAGGGCTCTCCTCCATCACTTCTACAGCAAACCCACTTTCTTGTGGAGGTAGCCCACCATAGCGTACTGTGATGTTCTTGATTGATCTTCTCATTGGCGATACTAGTAACGGGTAAAAGTTTAGCAGTCATGGACAGTGGGAGCTGTGCTCAACATAGCCATTGTGCTCCAGCTAGTGGTAAGCAGGGGGTGCTTCTTAATTAGGAATTAATATTCAAATGCTTCTGGGGAAAAAAAAAGAAAAAGTAAAAAAATCACATTCCAACCTCTTTGGGTCACAAAATGTCAGTCTGATAATGGCACCCACATCTCTGACTTTACTTACTGTCGGGGGAGAAAAAAACAGATTTATCTTTGCATAAAAGTAGTTAGTTTTGTTTTTTCTCGGCCTGTGCGGTTGTAATTAATGTTAAGACGCTCTCTGAAACAAGGGATTTATTATAATGCAAGGGTGAGGATGGCTTCTATTGACCTTTTCCTCTGCTGGAGTTTCAGTGTTTTAGTATGTGCTGGTTGCACTGGAAAGAATTTATAATCACAGGGCTGTCAAAGACAACCATTGTTCTCCCGGCTCTGAACATGTGGGTCAGCTACAAGTGCTTTCATATCCCCCAGAGCCAGGAGCTGGCAAAGAGTAAAGAGCACAACTGAATTCTTCTGAGGCATCAGGAAAAGCATTTTGCATATTTTTCATTGCTGATTGCTTCAGAAAGACATCCCTCTTTCATAACAGGAATTTCTCTTTAAGGTAGAGGGAGGCTGGGGCACACTGCTTCATTATTTTGCTGAGCTGAAGCAGCAACAACAAATGCTGTCTGCTGGTGTCCTGGCCAGATACAATAGATGGACAAGGGGAGGGGGGGATCTTTTGGAAAGCAGCAGACTTAAACCTGATGCAGGCACGATGTTAAAATTGTAGTGCCTTTGCCTGTGCTATGGACTATGGACGACAAGTCAAGTTTCAGGTTGCTTTCAGTTTTGATCTGTTTATTAACTTGCCTATTGCAACTTTTTCTTAGTTCATCGTACTAATCTAATGAGTGGGGTTTCCTCTTAATCAGCATAAAATTGGGGTTTATTGCAAGCTTGCACTTCTGTTTTGAAGGGGAGAAGGGGTAGAAAACAAGGAAACCCTTTTTTGGGGAGGAAATTTTTAGTATTTGGGAAGATGCTTTGTTGTCTGATGTGTAATGGATCTCACGGGTACGTCAGTGGCTTCTTTATGAAGAGGTACCTGCTGTACTTCCATGTAGGAAACGGAAGAAATTGAGAGCCCAAAGCGCAGCATTCGTGACAGCGGCTATATAGACTGCTGGGACTCTGAACGCAGCGATTCCCTCTCCCCACCTCGCCACGGCAGAGATGATTCCTTTGACAGTCTGGACTCCTTTGGCTCCCGCTCGCAGCAGACACCGTCTCCAGATGTAGTGCTCAGAGGGAGTAGCGATGGTAAGTACCGGTCACGGTGCGGCACATGCATAACGTTGTGATATATAAGTAACATTTCTGGAGCAAATGTGCCATTCAGAAGCTAGACACAGCCTCTGAATTGTGCTAATCTGGTGGGAGAACTTCTCTGTGAATGCTGATTTGTGCTCCCTGAGGTTTAGATGCCGTTGCCAACAACTTACTTGAAGTCTGTCTCGGTTAGGATAGCGTAGCGTTGGAAAATGAGTTACATCATTGCAGCGTAATTTTATGATGGGAAGAGTGCTTTTCTGGGTTATGGTGTAAGAGGATGTTATGCAGACTCATTTTAAGTTATAAACTAGGCTGGAGCAAGAAATAAAAGCTCAGGAACAAGGGAAATATTGAAGTGAATAAAATGTTTACCTAAGTAAGCCCTGGGCAGATAAATGACATAGAAATATCTCGGAAATGTCTGATACTTGACAGAGTTTTGAAGTCTGTTGTACAGCATTTTACGAAATGTCATATTTGTTTTCATGGTATTTAGAAAATTGGGTACATTAATAGCTCCGGCATCAATGCTGTGGCCATCTTCGTACACCTTTGAGTGAGGACATGCAGCTCTAGGCTTACGGAAGGGGTGCTGCTTCTCTGCCTTTCTTGTCTGATTCCCAGAGGCTCCCAGAGGCTTCCAGAGGCTTGTGTTGTGGTTTAGCCCCAGTCAGTAACTAAGCACCACACAGCTGCTCGCTCACCCTCCCTCCCAGTGGCATGGGGGAGAGAATCGGAAGGAAGCAAAATTAAGAAAACTTGATGGTTGACATAAGAATAGTTCAATAATTGAAATTAAAAAAATAATAAATGTAACGAAAAGGAAAACAATAAGAGAGAGAAACAAAACCCAGGAAAAACACATGATGCGACTGCTCACCACCTGCTGACCGATACCCAGGCAGTCCTCGAGCAGCGATCGCTGCCCCCCAGCCAAATCCCCCCAGTTTCTATACTGAGCATGACGTCATATGGTATGGAATGGCCCTTTGGTCAGTTTGGATCAACTCTTCTGGCTGTGCCCCCTCCCAGCTTCTTGTGCACCTGGCAGAGCATGGGAAGCTGAAAAAGCCCTTGACTGGTGTAAGCAGCACTTAGCAACAACTAAAACATCAGTGTGTTATCAGCATTATTCTCATACTAAATCCAAAACACAGCACCATGCCAGCTACTAGGAAGAAAATTAACTCTCTCCCAGCCGAAACCAGGACAGCTTGTGAACACAGCATGCTCAATGAGGAAGGATTTGCTAGGGGTAGGTGTGGAGCATGCATTTAGGTTACCTGTCATGAGCAGGATTCTGGTTCAGACCAAAAAGATGCTTGATTGAGGCTCCCTCTGCATGGTTATGTTCCCGATGAATGGATGAATCAGTCAAACTTCATCATCAGATGAAGTTATGTTCCACACATGAATCACTTCTCCTTAGTAATGTTATTTATTTAATAAAAAAAGGAAGGGCAGAAAGGCTTTTTCGTAGGAACCAGATGTTCATACTGTTTTTGGCAGTGTGAAAGAAACTGGTGCTAATCATAACCGGACACATTAGAGAGTTCCTGAGGTGATGGGGAACTTCTTAAAACTGAAAAGCTGGCAGGGAGAGCTGGTGTCATAGCTGAATTATGAAAGAGCTGTGGGGAAAGCAGGGCTAAGATCTGCTCTGCTGTTTTGAGTGGCCCGTGGTATTGGGGCTGTTGCTGGTTGATCATTCAGAACCAGCTACTGGGGCTGATTCCCTGAAAGAGTCTCATGCCCCCTCAGACACTGAACAGAGCACAGTTTCCACATGATAAAACATTTTTCTGCCTTCCCAAATGAGACAAAAGTGTGGTGTTGGCAAATAGGAACACCTCACATGTCCTAATCAAGAAGTGTTGCTCCATCCTGGGTGCTCAAGCAGTGTCCAGTGTCCCTGCCTACTTGGAGCTTGTGGACAGCCAGTTACATATGTCCTGTAGCTGCTTTCTGTATACTTCTGCTGTATTAGCAGATTTTAGTAAGGTTCTGTGGTTGGTTGGTTGCCACAGCTAAGACATACTATCTTGTCACATTCTTGAGCCCATAACAAACAGAAAATAAGATGCACGCATACAAAGCTTGTTCTTAAAAATTAGTCTTTAACAATATCCAGACCCAGGGTGCATGCAGATGCTGTGTGCACATGTGTGACTTGTCCAGCCAGCCCTTTCTAATATGTCCCATTTTCCCTGCTTGCTGCTGCCGTAACTTCACAGCTGTCTCCTCCAAGAGTTGCAGGTGAAGTGTAGCTTGGCTGACCTCTTTTCTGTTGAACCTCTTCCTGTGGTGCCAGCAGGCCACTGTTTCACTCAGCTGCATGTAGTTTTTGATAGAAATAATGTATATGCAAAGCTGGATGGAAGGAAAAGGTTCTCTTTGCATTACTCCATTCAGATAGGAGCTTGATAAACCCAATAATATGATAGTGAAATAAAACTATGATTCCTTCCACTCCTAGAAAAAAAATTAATGAATGTGGATCATTTAAGTGATGCTAAGGTGATGATTAGTTTAGGTGGAAGCAATAAGTAATTTTACTCAAAACTTTACGAATGCCATCTGTGATTAGCTCCACCGTTTAGGAACCGCTCTGGTGTCTTATGCGGTCCCTGTCCCTTGGCAAAAAGCAAACAAAACCAGTGGTAGAGCAGAACAGTTTGTTCAAAATACAGTAGAACTGCAGACTGACTGGCCCGTAGAGTTGCTAATGTACTCAAGAATGAATAAAATCCTCTGCTTGGCTGGCAGTTGTGCATGGATCCTTGTATGAAGGATCTGTGCATGGCTGTGGCGTCTAACTGCTTGTTACGGCTTCTGGAAACTGGCTGCTGCTTCTTCTTCTGCTTGGAAACACAGAACAACAAAGTTAAGGTTATAAATGTAGATCATGGCTGCATCTTCCATTCGGTGCTTTGCCTTCAAGTGCTTTTTTTGCAAATTTGAGCTGAGAATAATTTCACGAGTAAAATATGAATAATTAAGGAAGCCGTTTGTCTTTGAAGTACTCAACTTGGGGATGCTGGTAGGCACATCAGTAATGAGGGAGAGGAGTCTGTTCTAACTCCTCTGCTACTGTGGTTTTCTATTCCAGCATTTATGTCTGCTGGTTCAAGACTGTTTTTCATGTGATACAAAAGTAAACACCAGAACAAAGTCAAGAGCAAACAGAATAGCAAATAACAGTAAGGGATCTTTCCATTTGCTGTCAGCTCCTCTGTGGCCCTGCTCAGTCTAATGATATTACACTCTTCAAACCTCAGCTGTCCTCAGACACCTAGGATTCTGTGGTCGTGTCTCCACTTTTTGTGTAGACACAGACTTAGGTTGCTAATCATGGTGCTGGTTATTATACGCTCTTAACCAAAATTGTTGAAGCAAAAGATAACTGGCAAAAAGTCCATGGTGATTTTTGTCTAACTAGCTCATTGCCATTGTGTCTTGTCTTTTCTTACTGTTCCCTCTCGCTCTCCTTCAGCTCTCTCCAAGCAAACATTGAATAACTCATTCTGCTGCAAAAGCTCTTTGCAAATAACATTCCTAGCATATTTAGACCTCTTTTCCTTCCCCCACTTTGAATTATACACAAGCTACTTGTGATTTTTATGACTTCATTGTTTTCAGTTGTTCGTTAGGTAGCTCACTGAATTAGCTAGTGATTTACTAGTGTGGTGAATTAGCAAGTGGACACAACCTGGGTGGCTTCCCCTCACCCCAAAGAGGGGAACAGCTATTGCATATGCAAGTGTTGCAAAGGGGCCAAGGGCCAGAGACATCCAACGCTCCAAAGCTGGGAGAAGGTTTGAATGCTGGTGGGAGAAATGGCTGAATATGCTCCATTTCACTCATCAAACCAGGGCCTGTGGTGATGTTATGCTGCTGGGAGAGAACTATTTACATAGCTTCTTTGTGAATTACTTTAAAAAGCTCATGATGGTGCAGGGAATCTAGCAAATGTCTATGAAGTGGCTTCCAAAATGGCTATGAGGGCAGTTCCACTGCAAATGCTCTTTAAAGTATTTGTCCTACCATTTGGGAGTTCTGTTTTCAAGTTAGTAAGGTCTTGCCTAAATTTCTGTGTTTTAAATGGGCTGTAAATATCAGGAAGCTTAGTTCATTTGAACAAAATTAAGTAGTCACTCAGCTCTGTTGATCTCCCATCTTTATTCTCTGTAACTCGATTTTTCTCTCTCACCTTATTTCTTTTCTTTGCCAGCAAGTATTCTTCAGTCTTTGCTGTACTGATCTAACCTCTAAATCCTGAGATCCCTTCCCTCTCTCCTTGCACCTTCCCATCTGAGCATCAAGTCTCTGTATCTATTTTGCAGTGTGCCAGACTGGTTGACCAGGCAACACATGAGACTAGAGAGAGACTATCTGAGTCTTCTGTTTCATAGCAGCTGATGCTTATTCTCAGATTTTGATCAAAGCTGATGCTGTATGCGTTCAAATTGCAGTTAGAATTTGAAAAATTAGAAGATTCCTGCCATTCTGTAAATATAGAGCATGCAGTCCTTTTTTGCTTGAGCTTCTGCTATGCACATGCAAGTCTAGATTCAAGAGAGTGAATCAGGTCAAACGTACCCATATGTACAGCTAGGAGTGATTTGGGCTTTAGTCAGGTAAGCTTCTATAGCTGCCCTGTGTGATTGACAAGTCTGGCTTAATCTGACCCTGAGTTTTTTGATGTGACCGGTGGCTGAAGATGAGTTTTTCAGGGGCAGAAAATAAGGGTTCATGGAAAAAAATGTTTACTGTCTGTCTAGATATTATGGCTACTACCTTCAGTGACTGATTTTAAAATATAAGTACAGGTAAAAGTGGCCTCACTTTTTGGTGCTCACATGTAAATGTAATTTTTTGGTGGTGTCTTCTCTGATTTATAATTTAAAAAAACAAAACAAAACAAAACCAAAACCAAAACCTGGATGAAAGTGAAAAAAAGAGGGATTTTTTTTCTCTTTCCTCACTAGGGAGAGGAAGTGACTCGGAAACTGACCTGCCACACCGAAAGATGCCAGATGTAAAAAAAGATGATATGTTGGCAAGGCGGACCTCACACGGTGAACCTAAATCAGCTGTGCCTTTTAACCAGTACCTCCCTAACAAGAGTAATCAGACTTTCTATGTACCCGCTCCACTTCGGAAAAAGAAAGCTGAACGAGAAGAGTACCGAAAGAGCTGGAGCACGGCAACTTCACCGCTAGGAGACAGACCTTTCAGGTAAGATCAGCCTGTCCAACTTCTCCCTTCCTCAGTGATGATACTTTAACACTTGCCTAGTTTTCGTTCTTTTCATAAGATGTATGAAGCGCCTTGTGCTGTAGTAAATCTCTTGCTCAGATGGTACTGATAAATTGTTTGTAGCAATTGGCAAAGGTGGTAGAAAAGCAATGAGTGGAAAATCATTGTCTTGATGTCATTATTTACCATACAATGCAATGTATAGCTTGTGTTTGACAAGATGTTGGTTAATATAAGTACCATGGATGTTGATTCAAACCCAAAGCTGGACAAAAATGTTCTGGGTGGTCTGTCTCAGTTCTCAAGACAGTTATGCACTAATAAATGGTACTTATAAGTAACATTTGATGTATTCAGTCAAAGTAGGTAATATTTTTGCTGTGTTTTATTAAAATCAATTTATTTGTATGTTTGATTCTATACACCAGTACAGTTTATATAACTGTGACTATGTGTTTCTGCATGCCGCTTTTGTCAACTGATGTTTCACTTTTGATTTGGCCTAAGAAGCAACTCCTATTAAAGAGCATAATTATCTTCCGGATCGTTCATCAGAATATCCTTCGGCATCTTGATATCAACAAAATGTGCTTATAATAAATAAGTGTATATGTTTCAGGCACAGCATACATTAAACTACCTTGTATAATTCAATAGCAAACCCCACCCTGAAACCATAGAAGAAGAACAGAATGAAACATCAGGATTGTGTGAAAAGGAGAAGGTGGGCTCCATGGCTCCTGAGGCAAGCTCCCTTAAAAATCAAGTAGGTTTGAATCAAAACGAAGGAAACTCCATAGACAAGTCTCCTTCATGTAGTGCAAAAGAACCATCAGCACCCAAGGGGAAAGATGCAGAGGAGATCAGAAAGTTAAGAAGACTCGAACAAGCTGGCATTAAGGTCATGTCAGCAGCCCAGCGCTATGGCAGGTTAGCCCAACGGTGTGGGAAATTGTGCACGCTTCACATTTTTAGGATTGGCTGAAGTGTGGGTTTCCTCAGTCCGCTGTGATTTCACTTCTCCTAACAAAAATCCCGTCTGCTAAGCACTCACAATTGCTAGTGAAGGTCTTGGTCAGAAAAGGCTTGTGATGTGGCAACTGTGGATTGCAGAGTTGTATGATGCTAACTGCATTTGTGTTGAGAAATTGTATCGTCTTACAGCATAATGTAAACAGACTGCAGGAAAACTACTACACAGAGTACTTGTCACCTTCCACCTAATGCTTTCTTGCATTTAATAAAAAATACATAAAAATGTACATTAAAAATGCCTTGTTTAGGCAAAAGCTTCAGAAACTTTACTTGTTGCCGATGGTATGGTTTAGTTTACTGAACCACGCTTTTTAGGTAGTTAATATTTTTAGCTGTGTTAGTAAATGATGCGTTTATTTTTAATGGCAGGAACTATAAAAGTACGGTGCTTGTTAACACATCTACCAGTTAAAGCATGGAGGCATAGTTCAGCAATTGTAATTTGACTGACTTTGGCATGGAGTATCAGTAGTTATTCACTTATTACCTGTGTTATTAATTTTTGGATGTTGTTCAACTTGGTTATTTCCTGTTCTTTAACTCGAGAGCTGAATGATGGCTAGGCTCACTGCCCACACCTTTCCATCATCTGATTCTCATGAAAAATCTCTCTTTCTCATGGGGATGGCCCACAAAGCAGAGTTTTAACCAGCATGTCAGAAGACTAGGCTCTTATAAATGATCAAAATGGTTTGGCTAAAGGGTAAGTGTTCAAATGTCCTCCTGTCTAAAACATTTTATTTTGGATTGTGGGGTGAAATCCTGACAGTGAGTAGTTTAGCAGATGCTGGTCTACAGTCTGGGCTTTGAAGTGTAGCAGTAAAAAGTACAGCTGTTATGTGATACAGCCTGTTTATAGGTACAGTGGAGCTTGTCTGCGGCCATATACAGATGTGCCATATACGGATGTGCCATATACAGTTAAAACAGTCACAGTATATATGCTGTCATATGTCCTCTTCTCAGGTTTGCTTCACTGTTGTCAAGCTGTAATGAGCCAGTGTTTATGTGTGGTTGTGGGGTACTACTTTAACAAAGCCGAATACTAACAAAGAGGAACTATCAGTCATAAATTAGTCCTTCAGGCTGAGTTAGTGTGCTAGTTGATCAGGAATCCATAAACCAGTAGGACAATCCGAGGCTGTAGCATTAATGTTAGTAATGTAGTAATATGTAGTAAAACATAGTAATAGCTTGTGTTTAGCAGTGCTGTGCACAACAAATAACACTTTGCATTTGCATTTGCATTTGGAGGATGCTCACTGTGTTATCCGAGAGTCCCTTTTCTAGCCCTGTGCTCGATCTGCTGGCTTGGTCTCCAGGAAAGAAGCACATGTGAATCAAATGTGTGGTTCTCTGGCATGAAATCAGGTCTCCTCTTTCCTTGGACAATCTGTTGTCCTGACAGGGCTGAAGGAGAAGGTAACAGAAATAACAAGCCATTTTCCCCCCTTGCTCTCCTTTCTCCCCCTTGCTGGAATTTGGCAGCTGGAAGAAGGAGGTGCTGCTGCTGGTTTTCTGCCCCAGCTGAGGGTCAAAGAGCAGAGCTTTGTAGCCCAAGCTTCACCATAGTGAAGTAGGGGCCTGCTCCTGGGGATTGTAGGAAGACACAGCAGAAGAGGCACTGGGGTCAGAGGTCTGTTAAGAAAAAATATTTGTATGTGTAAGTGAAAGGATAGTGGGTGAGGAGAAGGGAAGAGTTCAGTAGTGACACTTTAGGATACTGGGGAGCATTTGTTCATCTCTCTTAATGTCTCATTCTCGTGCCCTGTTCTTTGAACCTCTCAAATTTCTCTCCTTGGCATCAAATTCAAATTTCTGTGCACTAATGGCACCGAGCAATTCTCAATCCCTCTTGTTTCTGTATTCTGATCTTTTTTTTTTTTTCGCCCTTCTTACTCCCTCACCTTTCTATGAAGCCAGCCTCTCTTTTTTCTGCCTGAGGTTGTCAGTTGTCTTCCACTTGCTCCAAGTTGTTTACAGGCTGTTTCCTCTCAACATTCTGACCTCTGGAGGACACCCACTGTGACTTCAAGTTCTACAAGGCATCTAATTGTTCCTAAAGCTGACACTCAGTTGGGGACCTTTCTGGGTCCGGCACAGGAAGGATTTGAACCTGTATGCAAATGCATTTTTTGCTTGGTATCTAAGTACTTATCTCCATTGCTGTAACATGTTCTAGGAAAGGACTCCATTGAACTAGATGCTATACAAATACTTGCGAGCGTTCCCCCTTCCCAAAGGAGCATATTGTCTCTTTATAGCACATTGTTTTATTGATCTGTGATCCTCCTTGCTTGCTTGTTGTCTGCATCTGTGTCTTATTTACACTATTGTATCTGAGAGATAAGGATCAGATTCATGGAGACTCCCTAAAAAGAAAAGGAGAATTAAGTCTGTTTTAATAAGTGATGGAGAGGGGGAGGGTAAGAGAGAAATGTGAGCAAATGGAGAATTCTTGGCATGTTTGTTGCAAACAGGACATGGACTGTTATCTTGACAGTGCATAAGTATGCAAAACCCTTTCATTGTTCTGAAATGCAACAGAAGGATCCACAAACCTGTATGAGACCGTGCTTCAGCAAATGCAAACATCCGCAGTCTGACACTTTGGAAGCACATGCTGTACCAGCGTGGACCCGTGTGTTGTTTCTGCAAGGGCTGGAGCTGGGTATGCAAGAGTGATTTGCAAATCTGCAGGGAATTCTGATCCATTGCAAGCTTCAAATCTACAGTCTTCACTATCTCTATGGTGAAGTGACCTTAAAAGGTACTTTTGAGACCTCACAAACTGATTCAGGAGACCCCCAAATGTCACAGCTGATCTCTGATTCCATTAAAAACAAAATGTAAATGGAAAATATTCTTAACTTAGAAACTGATTGCTGATGTCTAGTTACTTACTAAAAGCTGTAAGTTCTTCAGTTGTTCATTACAATGACTCATAGTTATTCTTTTGAATATTATAACTCCATGTGTTTTTGTTGCCAAAAACACCCTTCTCAGAAATGCTACATTTGTTGCTCTCAAGCTTCAGGAGCATTGGGAGACACGAGACTGAAAAATCCAGTAGTTTTTACTGAATAAACACTTCGTTATACATAGCTCTTAAAAGCTAAAAGCATAAAACAATACCCCCAACCTAACCAGCTGAATAAATACTCATCTTACTGATCTTCATTTAAAAAGTAAATATAAAGAAGATTTAATGGAGTATTATGTGATTTTATACATGCCCTTTATGTCCAGGGTTCTGAAAATTATTTCCAAATTATTAGATTTCAAAAAAAGGGTAATGGTACCAGTAGTAAAGTCTGATTAAAAAATGAAGTTAGTCATATGTACCCTGGTTTATTTGGGAGAACAAGTTCCAGTGTATATGACTTTTAGATAATTGTTTTCGTTTGTGCCTAAAATGTTAGGCACCATATCTACTTTAGATCGGTTTATTTTCTCTAAAGTTTTCAAATTCTTGTACTGGGGAAAGAAAAGATGTCTTGGGAAACCATAAATGGAGAATCAGACTCTTTCCATGGCGATCATCTTGAACTTACTGTATTGCAGGTTTAAAAACCCAGTTGGATTTGGGCAAATTACACTAGTGTATTGACAACCTGTGATTTAGAATTGAGTGATGTAATATGCCTGTTCAGCAGTGAAATTTGAACCTGAAGATGACCTTGTAGGCCTGTTGATTTTTGTATGCACAAGAGTCAGCATCCTTAGAAAACTTCTTACCATATTATTTTAAGGAAGAAAGAGTCAAAATTCTTGTTATGAGTGGAAGCTAAAGGATAGGACAGTACTTGCTGATGGAGGGTTAGAAACGTGGAGCACTGCAAAGCATACAGCAGCTCAGAGCTGTCTGTTCCAGCTGTTTCTGAAGCTGTTGTGAACAGAGATGCTCGTGAGGGAGAGGGACAGCAGCTCCCTTTGGAGCGCTG